TTTGGCCAGCTCTTGCCTGCAGCATTATTGCAGTCTTCTCTGAGCACTCCAACTTTTCTGAGCACTATCGTTGGCCCTCTGCAGCTTTCCTGCAACCTCCTTGCAGCCTCCTTACAACTTTCCTACAACCTCCCTGCAGTCTTCTTGCAGCTTTCATGCAATTATCAGCCAACCGGTGACTTACAAATTCCTCAATGTCTTAAAATTGAGCTTAGCCCTCGTCCAGACCACTCTCATGCTTCGGCTCTCTCAAGCGTCGGTATTCTCGACTTCAGAGCTCTCAGGCTTCGACGCGCTCAGGTTTCGACACTCTCAGGCTTCGACACTTACGATTTGAGGATTGTTGGAGTTTTTTGGCAAATTGATGCTACATGTCCAATCAGCTCCAGTCTCCAATCAGCATACCGCAACCGATGTTTTCAAATTCAAGTTGAATATGATTTTCAACCAAGTTCAACTTGAGGGGGAGTGCTGAAAGATCTCGAAAAATACTAATGACTATATTTCATATTTGTTATAACTCTATATTTAGAGGGTTATAAATTATATGATGAATCTTGGGAATCTTTATTTATTTCTCTCCTTAATTAAAGAGATTAACTGTCTCTTATATTTTTATTATTATTCATTTCATTTTCTACTGTGTTCTATTTTTATTGTTTTCCTTACCAGTAAGTCTTGTAATGGGTATTTATACCCCTATTTGCATCAATAAATCAAGCCGCATTATACTAAATTTCAAAAGTATTGTTCTAAAAAAATCTTACAACAGTTTTGTCACAATCATCACACTTTAATAAATAAGATGAAAAAAACAGCTTTTATAATTAATGCTGATTTTTCTGCCGTGTTAACTTAAAAATGGCTAGAATACAGGCTAAAAATTTCCTTGCAACATTCGTTTCGGCTAGTAATCCACCTCTAACCTTTTCATAATCTAACCCAGCCATCGAACGACTCATTTCACTCTTCTTCTATTTTCAATTAGGGTTCTTTCGGCAAAGTATTTCTTGACAATGTCCTTTAGCTCTTATGACGTTCGTGACTACTAGTTCTCTTCGGTGGGGTGCTCGCAGCGGTGATAAGTTGGCGGTGCTTCAAGTTTGACAACCCAATCGAATTCTAGTGATGTAACTGTCGTATTTCAATCTCTTAAGGGCTTCTTTCCTTTTTATGCGACGATTTATGTTGTAGAGTATTAACATAATGTGAATGTTTTGAGTGGTGTTAATGTAAATGTATTAATATTTTTTAGATGTTGAGATATATAAATATATAAGAATTGGATGGTATGTATGTAAATGCCCCAATACATTTGCACATACATTTAGGATATCTTCATTCTGTATTTTTATGTTCGTTGAAAGATTTGGATGATGTGAATGTTAAAATTAAAAGTTATAACTATAGATGTATACATGTTAGCACAAAATATATGTGTAGTTGTATATACATTTGGATGATGTGACTGTTAAAATTAAAAGTTATAACTATAGATGTATACATGTTAGCACAAAATATATGTTTAGTTGTATATACATGTGATATTTTTTATGTGATATTTATGATTTGGTTGCTATAACCGTATGTATGTGTGTGTGTGTGTGTTACATACATTTTTTCTTAAAAGGTGGTATGTCTTATGTGATAAATAATAGTTTGGTGTTGCATACATATTAATTTATATAAGATGTCAATTTGAATCTTTTGCACACATAACTATGATTGGAAATATCTATGTATAACTGATGAGTTGAATGCCTTTATCTTTAAATCTCTATATAAGGCGCTAATAATTATCCAAAATTTGAGGTCATGAATTTATAATAAATTGAATTCAGGTAGAAAAAAGCTCATTAATGAGCTCTTAAATGATGTAGAGTATTTTATGCAAGTGATATCACAGCTTTGCACTTATCTTTCAAGGATAAGTTTTAATGTCCATATGTGAAGCACAAATTTCAAGCACTCCTAACATCAAATGAAGTCAAGTTAAATTTATATTATAGAAATTTTCAACCTAATTATTGGTACTATACTACACATAGAGTATGAACAAAATGCTAAGTATGGTCATGATGGCGCTTCATCAAGTCTTGTCCTTCCAACTGAATATGATCCTAACATATGTGAAGAAATATTTTTTGATGCAAATAGAGCTCAATTTGTTGAGCATGTGCCTGAGGATGATCAACTACCAAACATTGAAGCACAAATTCTGCAATTAATTGAATGTACTGCACAACATTCTTTGTGGGAAGATTGACCCGCACATTTAGAGTTATCAACAGCTCTTAGAATGTTGAGCGTTAAATCCGATTACAATATTCCTATAGAGTATTTTAACAAAGTAGCAGTATTAGTGAAGGAGACGAATCCTAAGAGAAATTAAGTTCAAAAGGTTTAGAGAATGAAAAAATCAGTGTTGAAGTAAGTCATTGCGGGCTTATAGAGTTCTCCTCATGTATGCGTTCGGGTGTGTGTGATAATGACATATCTACGTGAGTTTTTTTTTTGTCCTTTGATTTCCTCGGTATGAAAAAAAAGTGTGTTGATGTGTTCGGGTGTGTTTGGTTATGACATCATATGATGAGTTCTAGTTTCTTTGAAGCTCTCTTCTATATGTGTGTGTTCAAGTGTCTTTGGTTATGGCATTTATATGTGGAATTCTTGTTTCTTTTGAACTGCTAAAGTTTTTTTATATTGTTTAGTTGAATTATTTCTTAAAACAGTGAACTTATAGCTAACATATATTGTTTATTTGAATTATATCTACCGCATTTTGGGCATTTTCTCAATGAAACATGTTCTAAATAATACTCCAAATATAATATCAAAATTATGCAGCTTGAGTGGGGCAACGTATGGATTCTATATTTAACTAATATGTTGCCCATGAAGTTAAATCTTGCGATCAATTCTTCTATTATAAACTCCCATCCCTTCCCCTCTTCCCTCCAACCACCGGAGAAGAGGAACCAAACTTGCTCACCTCCAACCATGTCATCCTGCCTAAAAAAGTGCCGGCGAAACTACCGGCGCCTAAACTTAGCTTTGGAGCCTGATCTTCTACAAGAAGAGCAGAACAGCACCCAGACAAAGAAGGCCGCTGCTGCTTCCCGTACCTCAAACAGTTCTCATCCGGTGCTCACTTTCTTCGGATCTTCAAATAAAGAGAAGGCGGCGGCCAAGCCGGAGATGATGAGGTATCTGGAGTACATGAAGGAGGCTGGAACCTGGGAGCCTTCTTCTGCCAGCCCCGCTATATATTTCAAGTAGTCTGCTGATTTCTCTTACGTTTTAAGTAATTCAAGCAGTGTTTTCTTCTTCTTTTTCTTTCTCTTTTTTTTTTGTTTGATTTGAAATTAAATGTAATATTGATAGGTTTTGCGATACAGAGCTAGTAATCTTGTTTGCATGATGAGTTTTAGCTCAACAAATTAGCGAGGAAGAGAATCTCCTACTGAAATTTTAGCTCAAATTATTTGCTTCGAGCATGCGTTACTTTTACATCTGCAACTCTTATATAAAATGTAATAATTTCATAATCAGAAATGTGTGTTTGATTGGTACAACATCAAACCTTCCTGAAATTCAGAATGTTAACTGTATATTTGTTTAAATAATTTATATTTTTCTTAATTCTATAGTCTTACGGGATAATTATACACAAATCACCTGAAATATTGATATTTACAAATTAACCATCGGGCAATTCTCCGATGTATTTAGGTGTGTCACAATCAAACTATTGAAAATTTGATAAAAATAAAAATATGAGTTTGGATTCCGTGAATTTTGATACATGAGTGAGAATTGAGAAATTAGTGAAAGAGGGTAGTTGATATGTAAATGATATGTTTGGGGTGGTCTGTAACCCACATGTTTTATTAAAGTTTATAGTTAATGATTTGTTATTTCAAAAATTTTTGAAGCTATTTCAGAGGAGATTATAGATTATGGTCTGTTTATTTGTAAGTGTTTTAAATTCATATCATTTATTTTGAGATAAATCTAATATTAATCTTCATCAATTTTTCATACATTATCTTATAAATGTAAGAACATTTTTAAATAAAGCTAAAAACTTTAATATTCATCAACATTAATAAATTCATTTAAATATTTCTATCCGATTTCTTATTGCTAAAGAAAACGTTTTAAGGAATTTTACTTTTGGGAAAGATAATCTAAAACATAATATGTATAATTCAAATTCTCAAATTCCCAAATTCTCGATCTCATTACGAGAGGTTACATTCTTAGGGTCTCTTTGGGCTGCCGTTTATTAAAAAATAATTTTGAAGCTGTCGAATAATAATCATATGCTCAAAAAGTTATTCTGACTATTATAATTTTTTTTTCAAGTTAAATCACAGTTAGAAAATTGTTAACGCACCTAGTTAAAAGAAATGAAAAAAAGTATTTTTCAGGAATATTTTTAAAAAAAAGCCGTCAAAACATGATTTATCTAAAAATATAAACACCGCCGCCCCCAAAAAAAATTACCATATCAGTTATAAATGTACATGCTTAAGAATTTATATTAAAATAACCGACACGGCAAGCAACTGCGAAGCACTTATTTTTTGTGACGTGGTATAGATAGGCGTGATTAATATAAACTATTGTACAGCCAAGATAGCTGGGATGAGTTGTCTAAAATACATGATATTGCCGGAAGGCGTCAATTTGTTCTGAATTAATTTCTTACCTAAACGCCCCTATTTTTCTCCACTATTTATTCTCAGTCTGACAAATAAACAAGACTTTGTTTTATCATCAGTATTAAATGTCTCTACTCGTTGACTGATAGCGCTTATTTACTGTTCAAAAAATCGACTTTTTTAGCACGTTTTTTTTATGAATCTCGATGCATCAAATATATTTTAAAATAAAATACGGTTAGTTGATCAATTCCTCTTCTTTTCAATATGGAGGGAATGGTTTCAAACCTTGAAGAATACTGAAATAGATTACATGGTTGTGTGTAGGCTTGAAAAATAATTTAAATAGCCATATTGAGAGGATAGTCCTCAATAAGATAAATTTCTATCCATTAAAAAATAATATTTAAGATAAATTTTTATGATTTAATATTTACTGGTTTAGTAGGATTTTGGTGCTGGTGTCATACTCAATTTTAGATAAGTTTATGATTTTAGACTTGAACATGTCATAAAAATTCTCACTTTCTAATGATGCATTATAGAAAAATATTTAAGATAAATTCCTATTATCCTACAAGAAGTCATCGAGTGTGATTTGCTTAGTGCTTGAAAATTACAACTTAGTTGCGCAATATCAGATTATGAAAAAAAGTGTCTATGACTTTTTAATTTCTTATTGCTATGAATCAATAATTAAGCTCATTTACGAAAGCCTTCAGAAATTACTAGCAGTGTAACAAAGAGAAGCTTTAATAGCAGGCTACATTGACCATTTAAAACATCATTAAAACACATGAGTAGTCTTAAAATCACTCCCAATTTCAATGCAGTTTTTATCGGCCACAAAGAGTTATGTTTCCTCCTATTACTCTGCATAGTGATTTTATTAATCAAGATCCATTATGTCTAATAACTCAGGAATGCTTAATTGAGAGAATTTACATTCAGTAAATGGTAATGATGATTCTATTGTCAATCTTCTTGTGATTTTCCTTATTGATTCTAATTATACTATTAGAAACTCACCAATTGGAGAGTCCTACTTTGATTCAAAATTATGGAAGACCATCTCCTTTGACTAATCTTGAGGTTTCTATTATTTTTTAAGTTGTGGGTCCCTCCTTAGGATCTATCCCTACGCCTAGAAAATGGAGACCAAAAGGGGTTGCTTCTTTTCACTAAGTTTGTTTTCTTTAGTTTTCTATTTTATTATTATTTTTTTAAAATTTATGTGTTGGAATGCTATGAGTTAATGATGATCCTCGTGTTTCAGACTGTAGACAACTTATTATAGGAATTTTAACATGGATCTTATTTGCTTATTGGAAACTAAAATTTCTATTTCTACGACTTCTAATCATTTTCTTTATAATAAATTTAATTTATTCTCTTTTGAAAAAAGTGTTAACTATTTTCATTTGGTCGATTCTGGTATAAGTTGCATTAAATGGATTTCTTCTACTTTTAATATTTATTCATGATATTATTTCATTCTCCTCGTCTATTAGTTTTAGCTTTACCTTTGTTTATGCTGATAACAGTGTTATTCATAGAGTAGATCTTTGGAATTTCTTTTCTTCTTTAGTGGGTAATATACATGAACTTTAGAATGTTTTGGGTGATTTTAATTGCATTAGAAGGCTTAACAAGAAAAGTGGTGGTTCTCCTCCTAATCCCTGTAAACTTTTTTATTTTAATAACTTTGTTTTTAAATTGACCTTCCTTATAATGGTCTTTCTTTTAGTTGGTTTAATCAGCAAAAATATTTCTCTATAAAAATTCTTTTGGATAGAACTTTTTGCAATGAACTTTAGATGTAAAAGTTTTCTAGTTTTTTTTTAGAATTTTGAAACCTTTAACTTTTGATCACTCTATTGCTATTTATTTTAGTAATTTTTCGAAGTTATTTTGTAGGTTATGTATAAAAATTATTGGAGTTGTTGTCATAAGTTTACTTCTCTTGTGAATTTTGTTTGGAGCATTGCAGTAAAGAAAGACCCTCATATTTCTCTCTGTAACAAGTTGAAAAATATTAAAATTGCTATGAAAAATAGTTCTTTGAATTCTAATAAATTTATTACTAATAATATTAAATATTAAAAGAAACAAAAGTTTGTAGTTATGTCTCTTTTGATAACAACCCAAATGATAAATTTATTTTAAAGGAGGCGATTGTTATTCAATCCCAATTAGCTATAATGCTTTAAATTGCGAATAGAAATGGTTAAAACAAAAAGTGAAATACGCTTGGCTTTCTCAAGGTGAGGATAATGTTAAATTTTTGTATCAAAAAATTAAAATTAATGATTGTCAAAAACTTATTAAGGAAAGTTCTACTCATCATTCATTTTTCAATACTCAAGATGATATTTCTAGAGAAGCAATTTTTCTTTTTTCATGAGGCTTTCAATGGTCACTTTACTAATTATGCTTATGACTCCAATGCTTTCACATTAATCATATTTTAAATTCTGAAGAAGGTTATGAACTTATTATGGAGTTTTTGAATGAGAAAATTAAACAAGCTTTTCTCAATTGGGTGTAACAAGTCTCGTGGTCCTGTTGACTTCACGACTAATTTTTAAAGGATATTTTGAAGATTTTAAGAGTTGATTATATTGGTGTTGTTCGTTATTTTCTTATCTCCTCTAATCATTATAATACAATCAATCATGCTAATATCACTCTCATTCCTATGAAAAATCAAGCTCAAAGTTCTTCTAATTTTAAGTCTATATCTCTTTGCAATATAGTTTATAAGGTTATTTCTAAGCTTATCGTGAATAAACTTAAAATTTTCTTTCTAATGTTATTTATCCTGCCCAAGCTTCTTTCATTTATAGTCGTGATATTGCAAATAAAATTATTTTGACTAACGATCCCTTATTTTAATTTTAATTGTACTAATGTTGATAAAAGATTTTGTGTCAAATTTGATTTTAGAATGCTTTTGAAAATATTAATTGTCAATTTATTATTATTTTTTATTAACTAGTTTGGAATTTCCTAATACTTGCATTAATTGGATTGTAACTTCCATATCTAATCTTTAACTTTTTTGTTATGGTTAATAATGACATGAAGAGTTATTTTGTTTCTCCCTTTGATATTATAAAAGAGCGCCATCTATTACTTTATCTTTTTACAATTATAATGAATGTTTTTTTCTTGTCTTATAGAAGCTCATCATTATGTTTTTATCATTTTTAAACATATCATTGAGAGTTATAACATTAATCATTTATTTATGTTGACAATTTATTAGTTTTTGATAAAGGTGGTGTTAATTCTATTAATACTCTCAATTTTTTACTTGATTATTTTTATAAATCTACTAAATTAAGAGCTACAAAACTAAATTTGTTATTCATTTTTCTAAGCCTAATGATTTTAATTTACAGGATTCCTTTTGTCAAGTTAATGGTTTCCATTTAAAACATTACATTGTTATTATTTAGGTGTGTCTGTCAATTCTTCTATGTCACTTGTTGCTTACTGTTTCAAGTTGTGGAATAAGTTACAAAATTGGATTGGTGGTTGGAAGCTTAAAATTTTATCTTTTGCTGATAGATTTCAACTTTTGAAGCGTACTACTTGGAGTTATTTGCATTATTGGTTCATGCTATTAATATTCTTTAAAGTTTAAGAATGAAAATTTCTTCCTTATGTCAAAAATCTCTTCTTAATAGTGGTTCTAATTCTATGCTTTATACTATTTCTTAGCTTAAAATTACTAAGCCTAAGATTTATGGTGCCATTGATTTGCCTAATTTAGACATTTTTGTAAATCTAAAATTATACATAGACAATTTAATTGTTTTTTTTAGCAACTTGGTTTTCTTAATTATTATGAGTCTCTTTAGATTAAGCATATGAGAAGCTTATCTTCTTTTTTAGAAAATTTATCTCAAGTGGTTTTTAAGATTAGGTATTGCCTTCAATTTTAAATTATTTATAATAGTATTTTTTTCTATTTTGGTCATTGGTTGAATATTTCTTCTCTCCTTGAGAAGTTTCTTAATATTATTTTTATTTGGTTTAATCTCCCACCTTTCACTAAAGTGTACAAAGTTGTTTTTAATAATAAATGGGATTTTTTATCTCTTGTAATATTCATGATTTTTTGTTTAAACTTTATTTTTGATATTCCTATTAATAATAGTTTTACTTCTTTTCTTTTGAAGGGTCATGATAAATATATTCAAAAATTCATTTATAATTTGATCTTTGATAGCTCTTTTGTTATTTATTGGAATAATTATGTTTGGTTTAAATGCTACTCTATTAGAAATGCAACTATTACATAAAAAATTTTACATAACAGTCTCAAAATATATGATCTTGATTGTTAGATGTATTATGATTAATAATTCTTGTGTTTTGTGCTTAAATCATAATGAAATTCGTAATCATTATTTCGTTGAATGTAATTTTTCCCATTCTTTATTAAAAAGATGCATTCTTTATGAAAATTTTCATCTTTTAAGTGGCAATATGTTGCATATTCTTTCTGAGGTAGATTCTTTATCCTCTAATATTATTAAGAGATTTTACTTATTGATTGTTCACACTACTGTTTATTATATTTGAAAGAAGAGAAATGACAAAATCTTTAATATTTTTTTTTAGATAATATGATTTTTAATATTCATGAGATCATTAATTAGAAGAGTAGAAGACTAAATTTTAAATATTATATTCCTTCTTTTATTAAAGAGATTTATTTTATTTCATTTTATTGTTTGTTTTAGCTGCCTTGAATTTCTTCTCTTTTATTATTCTTCTTCTTGTTTCTTGGGCTTTTGTGGTTGTTCATATTAGTTTTTCTTTTTTTGTTGAGTTTGGATTGAACTATGATGTTTTTCAGGCACTTATTAAAATTCAATAGTATTTTGAATGTTTAAGCTCTTTTGATTCTAGATATTCATTATATTTAGAAGGAATTTTAATATTTTTTTCTCTCAAGTAAGTTTTTTAGTATCTTTTTTTTGGTCTTCTCATTGTTGCTATCGAGTTAATAAAAAAATATGTTATAAATGTTTTGTAATTACTGGGGGATAATCAACAACCTCATGAAGATGGATATGTTGAGGAAGATATGAAGAAGTCATGTTTTTATGGATTATATGATAGATAATTTGATATTGTTGTAGTGATGGCCAACTTTGTAGTTTTTTGTATTATTGTAGCATATGACAATGATGTAGTGTGAGAGATATAAGTGTGCTAGTGAACTATTTGTTTGTTTACATATTATTATTATTATTTGTTTTCTTTTTTTAAACTAAAGCTTTATAATAAGATTTAATTATAAATGTATTTAATATTTATGATTATTTTGATGGAATGATAGGAGAGATTATATCTTGACATTTACGAAAATATCATCGGCCTTTGCAAATAAGGTTTCATTTGATAAGACCACAAAGTTTTTTTCCATTGCAGTTTACGTGAATGCATGAAAATATTTTAATTTGATTTAGTATTTAATATCTCAGTTGTATTATAAAAATGATAAATTTTTATCATTTTAGACCACATTCCACCAAAATGATTGCTGAAGAAACCCTAAATTCTTCAAACAGAAAAATTTTTGCGTTCGAGCCGCGTCCGGGGCGTCTTCCAATCGCGGTAGAGAGAAAAAAAAAAACCGCTGTTGTCCGAACGAAAAAATCGGTACTTCAAACACTTATTTTTCTTTTTTTTTGTCACAAGTAAAATGCGTGAGAGCCACGCCACAATAACTGCGTGGGAACTGCGAGGCGAACCTCTTCTGAGCGTCGGAAATGAGAGTTCTCTTCACGACGCGGAGGCGGTTATTGGTAGACTCGCAGCCGCGCCCTCCGGCTCTGAATTCTCTTTTCAGCCTTCTTTCCCCTCGCAAGTACGCAGCCGAAACCGCTTGGCGGCGTAGCAGCTCCTCCATCTTAGGCCCAGACCTTCCGGACGTCTGGAATCATCCCAGCTCGGCGTCTCCTCCTACCCTTCCTTCGCCATCCGGAAACCAAGGTAAAGGTACCCTCTTCAGTTTTTGTTTGGGTAATATGCATAAACGGGTCGGATCTTTTATCAGAGCAAAGTGGTGTTCGGAGATCTTTATGACGAGAACAAATAAAAATGCTAAGATTTCCGAGATGAGACAAACCAGATGAGGGAAGAAAGGTTTGTGGATTGAATGCTGATACATGAAGAATCAATAGCTCATACGTTTAGGTTTGAGCTTGTTTTTGTTTTATGATTTTGTGGCTGAACGCTGGATGCTGCTTCTGCAGGTTATCATAACTTATACTGCTTTCCGTTTGATACATGAATATTAGATGTCTAGAAACTTATTGTCTTTCTTCTCAACAATTTAACTCCATCTTGAAAAAAATGAGGAGTCTATGGCTGTAAAGGGTTCTGATTTGGGTCATAATTCGTCTTGGTAGCAAATTTTGCAGATCATATTCTAAGACACCGCCATATTTTACTTGTGGCTGATTTTTCAGTTCTATTTGCTTTTGGTATTTGAATCGGATAGCATTCGAGTTCCGCATTGGAATTAAAACAGAAAGGAAATCATGTTGCAGTGCTGACATTCCATATCTGCAAATATGGTTAATGATGTCAAGCATCATAACAATTCAAACTAAGTATTATTCGATTTGCACAAATAAAGTTTATACTTAATATTACACTCAAAATAACTCGTGAAGTAAACCTTGTTAGAGTTATAAGAATTTTTTGGTTACCATATTGAGGTTATCGGACATGCATGCCATTAATCTCTTGGTTCTTGCATCATACAAACCTTCAATGCTCCTTATAACATTGTGAGTTTATGGGTGGGTGTTAGAGTTATTAGAATTATTAGCTTAACATATTAATATTGTCATACGAGCTTAATATTTATTATAGGATATATACTGATTATGAAAGATTGAAGAGTATTCTCCTTTATAATATTTCATATTTTTTTCCTTTTTTTCTAATATGAATGTTTATGCTAGCATTATGTTCATTCAACTAAAGATGTAGCCTTTTATAATTTTTATCGCGATATTAGAGCTAAGTCTAAGTCGATCTTTTCTTTGATGATGATTTAGCTCTCTTTTCTTAGTTTGCTATTTGATTATCTTATGGGGATCATGTGAAGATCACGTGAAGGATCAAGGGGTGGAAAGACGTCGGTCACTGTAGTTTCGAACAGAGCGGAAGACGAGAAAGTGCGTTGCGATTCCGACATTGCTTCCCTCACTAGTCGTCGACGCATGAGCAGAGGAGGGCGAAGGCTTCGGGCAAAAAGGTCGCGACGACTCTATGCGAGGCTAGGGCAGAGAGAGGCTCAGCGACTTCGTGCGGACTCGGGAAGAACAGATCGCGGTATTGAGAGGAAGAAGGATCGCGGAAGTGTGTTCGACGTTGATTTCGTGAACAGAGGAGGCAGAGGGTGACGGGAAAGGAAGGGAGAGACGGTCTTGCGTTTGGTTCGCGTGAACAGGAGAGGCAACAGTGAGGATTAGGAGTTTCAGAACTCCTCTGACGCTAGAGCTTTTCAGAGAGAAGCAGTGAAGGTTGTATCGTGATCATTTTTGCTTTATCTGAGCGAGAGAGCCCTGTTTTGATACTATTGTTACCACCTTGTTCTCTTCTTTGTGTGATCTGAATTTAAATCTTTGTAATTGAGGATGTCAGTTGATGGAGATATTATGAGAGATAAAAGACTGAAACATTTGGGGAAGATAAATTCCAAAGTTTTGAAGTTCTTGGTTGGGCTCATATAGTGAGCTAATGTTTCGACAGGAGCCACTATCTCAGCACGTGCTCCGACGTAGGTGAAACTAGATCTCCCTTCTGTGAATCTGAAGGTCGATTGATCAACCATATATCTGAGTTGGTCGCGTCGGATCAAGACAATTATAGCAGGGAAGAGACTAGAAGGATACCTGATGGGGGTCGAGCTAAAGAGTGAGAGTGTTGAGGGGGAAGAGCACACATGCATTGATTTACACTGGACTATTCATTTTGACGGTTCCATTGATTGCAATATCAGTTGATAACATCGGAAGGTGAATGACATCTGGGCAAAATTGAAGAGAACCTATGCTGGGACTGAGAATCACATACGGGTGTTTCATATTCAGCATGAAATAGAGGTAGTCATACAAGGTGATGGGTCGATTCAGGAGTACTCCGTAGAACTGGAGCGATTGTGGAAGATTTTGATCACTTTTCACCTATGTCAAGTTGTGGTAATCCTGAGTGTAAGAAATGGGAGATCTTTGAACAGATGAGGCTATGCAGTATCTGGCTAAGCACGTGCTCCGACGTAGGTGAAACTAAATCTCCCTCTTGTGGATCTGAAGGTCGATTGATCAACCATATATCTAAGTTGGTCGCGTCGGATCAAGACAATTATAACAGGGAAGAGACTAGAAGGATACTTGATGAAGGTCGAGCTAAAGAGTGACAATGTTGAGGGGGATGAGCGGAGGACCACACATGCATTGATTTACACTGGACTATTCATTTCGACTGTTCCAATGATTGCAATATCAGTGGATAGCATCGGAAGGTGAATGACATCTGGTCAAAACTGAAGAGAACCCATATTGGGACTGAGAACCACATACGGGTGTTTTATATTCAGCATGAAATAGAGGTAGTCGTACAAGGTGATGGGTCGATTCCAGAGTACTCCATAGAACTGGAGCGGTTGTGGAAGATCTTGATCACTTTTCACCTATGTCAAGTTGTGATAATCCTGAGTGTAAGAAATGGGAGATCTTTGAACAGATAAGGCTATGCAATATCTGGCTCATCTGAACACGATCTTTGATCAGAGGAGATCGGTCCTCCTAGCCCAGGGAACGATTTTATTCATTGGGAGGACATTGTCGCAATGTTGTAGGAGGAGAGTCGCATGAAACTACACTTTGAGCCTAGTGGACTTCCAGGTACATGACTAGCTTTGGCTGCCTCGAGCTCAGATATGACAGGTGCCCATTGAGAGAACTGCAGGTGCTACAACTATGAAAAAGTTAGACACTTGAATAAGGCTTGTCCAAAGTCACCCAAGGAGAGAGAGAAGGGTGAACTTGGACTGTTTAGAGGTTATGGTCGTAATCGTGGGGCCCAAAGGGGTGGAAGAGTGGGCACTGGGCGAATCTGATGGTAGCGAGGAACGAAGGAGAGACAGAGGTGGTCTTTACTGATGAGGATCACAAACTCTTAGAGATGTTGAAGAAGAGAGCAATAGGTGATGTGTTTGAGGGTGCATCCATCTTATCGTCATCCAAATGGAATATTGCTCCAAAAGTAATTGTGATACATATGATTTTGCCTCTATATCCATCATAAAATCACCAAAATGGATAATAGATTCTGGTGCATATCAATATGTGATATGTGTTGCCAGTGAGCTCTCTTCATATACTTAAATAACAATTCCAGAGAGCATTCATACAATTGATGATATAACACAACCTGTGGTTGATGAGGGTACAATGAAGAGTACCAATTCTATGGCCATTTCCAATATTTTGCATGTTTCTTCCTTTTCAGTAAACTTTTTTATCCATTAGTGTCATTATAATCTAACTAAAATATGTTATTTTATTTGATATTTTTAATGTGATTTTTCAAGAGAAGGGGATTGGCCGAAGACTTGAGACTAGCACATGACATAGTGGACTCTGGTACTTGGATAGGAGGGGATGGACTCAACCTTGAAATCCATGGCAGAGAGTGTTGGAGTAAGAAGATATGAAAGAGTGCGTTGCTGCTACATCAGCGCATGAGACACTCTTCATTTATCCTATTAAGTCGATTATATCCGTCTTTGTATGAAAAGTCAAATAAACAAAAAACTTGTGTATGATGCATGTGAGTTTGGTAAGTATACTAGGAGCTCTTATGTTAATTCTGGCAATAAGATTTCTTGTATTTATGATTTGGTACACTCAAATGTATGAGAATTTTGTTCTATAACTTCGATAAATGACTACAAATATATTGTGGCTTTCATTGATTTTTTTCTCATATTACTTGATTATATCTGACGAGAAATAAAAATGATGTGCTTGCCTGATTTAAAGATTTTCACAGGGCAATTCAGACTCAATACGGTGTAGTAGTGAAGGTATTGAGGTCCGAAAACGGGACAGAGTATACCAACAAGACATTTGGGGAGTATCTGTCAGCCTAATGAGATACAACATCAATCTACTTGTCAATACGCACTGACACAAAACGGAGTAGTAGAGAAAAATAATATACACCTTCTAGAGGTAGCCAGAAATATGATGATTTCGATAAATGACCCAAAGAATTTGTGGGGGTTGTTTTGACAGTTGTTCAATTAATCAACAGAATGTCCTCAAGAGTGTTGGAGTGACGATTTTCTTGTGAATTGTTGAAAGGAGATAATGGTAGGATCCTCTCATTGAATGTATTCAATTGTGTATGTTTTGTGAAGAATAATAGAACATCAATAGGAAAGTTGGATTTCAGAACAATGAAGTGTATTTTTGTGTGTTATTCTGCCACTAGAAGAGGTATGTTTGTTGGAGTCCAACAGAGAAAAGACTGTTTGTGAGTATGAATATGATTTTTAGAAAGTTTGAGCCTACTACACCTTAGAGGTGATCTCATTCTTTGGTGACTCGTCAGATGTTGGAGGTATGATGCGAGAGGGGGAGAGTGGTGATTGTGACTAATTGGTGCATGTGGGAACAATGCATTGTGCCACTGTGTGGGAATGATCGATTGAAAAAGAGCTAGAATATGCAAAAAATGAGCCTGAAAGTGGTGGAACTCAAGCTCAAGGGGAGTTGGGGGTGTATACAAGGAAAAAAAAAAGCAGAATGAGGGAACAGTATCTGTCGTGCCAACAAGTTCCTTGTCCCGGTCTATCCTGACTCCTGAGACACCTACATTATCTACCTTTGAATCTGATTCGTAGGTGATATGATTCGTCTCTCTTCTCCTTCTACTCCTATAACTTTAAAGATGACCTCTCACAACAATGTGGGTCATCCTCCTAATCGTTATTTTCCTGATCGCTTTGGGTCTTCACATGACATTGCTCAGTTTGTCTCATACTCTAACATATCACCTTTACATGGAGCATTCACTGCATTTTTGGACATTGTCTCTATGCCCGTGGTGGCAGGTAGGAATGTTGAGGGAACTTGGTGCTTTTGATAAGAACGGGATATGGGAGCTCATGTTGCTACTAGCAGGGAAAAAAATAATTGGATGCACAGTGAAGCAGACATAAGAAGGAAAGATCGATCACTACAAAGCAAGATTAGTGGTGAATGGGTATAGTTAAACATGACATCGACTACGACATTTGCATCAGTGGCAAATATGAGCTCGATCAGGACACATGTCTGTCTAGCTGTGAATGATGGATGAAGTTTACAACAACTAGATGTGAATAATGCGTTTCTTCATGGGGATCTAATAGAGAAGGTGTATATGGAGATACCATCAAACTTCAACACAAATCAAACAGTGGGCGAGGTAGATTGAGAAGTCAATGTATGGTTTGAAACAGTCTCCTCGAGCTTGGTTTGACAAGTTCAGGAAAGCAATGGTAGACATAGGTCATTAGCAAATCAATGCTGATAACAAAGTATTCTTTCAATGACATTGTGTTCACATTACTATTCTTGTTGTGTATGTGGATGATATGTTATGATTGTCACTGGGCCTGATTAGGGAGAGATTGTTCAACCGAAAACAAGTTTGAGCAAAGAGTTTGATGTGAAGGATTTGGGGCAACTTAGATACTTCCTCGGAATTGAGGTGGCTCGTGAAGTAGAGGGGATTGTTCTATCTCAAAGGAAGTATGTGTTAGACTTGTTCAAAGAGACAAACATGTTGGGATGCAAACTTGCAATTTCATCAATTGATTAGAAGGGAAAATTAAGCGCAGAGGCAAGGGTCATTTGATCGCGAGAGGTGTCAGAAGGGTTGGTAGGCCGTCTCATCTATTTGAGTCACATTTGTCCTGATATTTCATTTATAGTAAGTGTGGCGAGTCGTTACATGTATGATCCGAGGAAGGGTCACATGGATGCAGTATATCAAATTCTGAGGTACTTAAAGAGCGCATCAAATAAGGGGTTGATTTTCAGGAAGAATGAACCTGTATATATTGAGGGCTATTGTGATTCTGAACAGGCCAATTGTATGGATGACGCGAAGTCCACATCTGGATAATGCATGTTTATAGGGGGCAACTTGGTCTCTTGAAAGAGTAAGAAAAAATCAATAATAGCGAGGTCAACAATAGAGACAGAGTATAGGGTCATGACCTTAACACTTGCTTAGAGGATGTGGTTGAGAGCCTTGTTGGTAGAGCTCAAGGACCAAGGAGCTAAAATGAAGTTGTGGTGCGACAACAGGTCAGTGACCAGCATCGCCAGCAACTCGGTGCAACATGATAGAACCAAACATGTGGAGATTGATTGGTTCTTCTTCATCAGTTCTTCATCAAGGAAAAACTGGATAACAGTCTACTGAAGCCAAGTAATGTAGCCTCTAGAGAGCAAGTGGCTGACTGCCTCACCAAATTACTTAGCTTATTAGATTTGTCTAGGTTGTGTGACAAGATGGGCTTAGTGGATATCTTTTGCCCATCTTGAGGTAGAGCGTTGAGATTTATATCTATTATAGTGTTCCATTTATAAATAGAAGAAGTCTAGGGATTTATTTGTAAATATTGTAAGATTATATAAACCCAAGTGTTAATGAAATAGGTAATTTTTTTCATCAAATAATTCTTTTATTCTTCTTTATTTAATTTATTGTTCTTTTCTTTTTTTTCTTTTTTAAATAAGGATGTTTTTATTAGCAATAGGTTTATTCAAATAAAGATGTAGTTTTTCTATAACTTTGGAATTACTAATAGTGATAATGAAGATACTGTTTGACATTTGTTTTTGTTCACATCAATACTTTGTTAGGATAACCTGCCTGAGCATTGTTGTACTAACAAAATTTTAGGGGATGATGAACTTAATCCAACAATTATCAATGGAAAAATAATCGCAGAAGAAATAAGATCAGGAATTGCAGCGGAAATACGCCAGTTGAAAGATGTTTCAGGAAAAGTTCCAGGTCTAGGTGTTGTGTTGGTGGGAAAGAGAAGAGATTCTCAATCCTATATACGTCACAAAATAAAGGATTGTGAGGAAGTTGGAATCACCTCACTCCTGGCTGAGCTTCCTGAAGATTCTTCACAAGATGATGTATTAAATGCAGTTTCAAAGTTCAACAAAGATCCATCAGTTCACGGTATTCTTGTGCAACTACCTTTACCAAAAGTAATTTCTTTCTCTTCTGCTGTGAAATTAAAATGCTTGAATTTTGATGCTTGGAATCTTTTGCATGGAAATCATTAAATCTGTAACTTTCCAGTTTCATTTTCATTTTGTTGAAAGCAGCATATTGCTGAGGAGGAAGTACTGAGCGCAATAAATCTAGAAAAAGATGTCGATGGCTTCCATCCGCTAAATGTGGGCAATCTTGCATTGCGAGGAAGGGAGCCTCTTTTCATTCCATGTGCAGCAAAAGCTTGCATAGAGATTTTGTTGAGATATGATGCTGAGTTAGTGGGGAAAAATGTGGCTGTTATTGGACGAAGCAGAGTGGTTGGGCTACCTACTTCCTTACTACTGCAGGTAATCCCAGCAAAACTTAATTTTTTTATTCAGTGATCTTCACTGTAAGCATTAAACTTATCTCTCTGCAGAGGCATCATGCAACTGTCAGTGTAGTTCATGCTTACTCGAAGAACCCAGAAGAAATCACTCGAGAAGCTGACATTGTTATCTCAGCAGCAGGAGTTCCTAATCTGGTTCGTAGGAATTGGCTTAAAAGAGGCGCAGTTGTCATTGATGTGGGAACAAATCCAGTTGAGGTAAGGATGAGCCTGATGCAAATATGTTTTCTTTTCTTTCCAATTTGTCTTGTTCTTGTTTTGATTTGCAAATTCTTAATTTGTAATATTTAGTTAAAATGCCATTCACTAGTGTTGGATTGTCATTTGATGTATTGTAAGAATTAAAGTTGAAATTTTTTCCTCATATATTTTACAGGATTCGAGAAGTGAGCATGGTTATTACCTCACAGGAGATGTTTGCTATGAAGAGGCATTGCAGTTGGTTTCAGCTATAACGCCTGTGCCAGGTGGAGTGGGACCGGTCACCATTGCCATGCTTCTTTCCAACACTCTTGAATCTGCTAAAAGGACATTTGGTTTGAGCTGAGAACGATGCAGTAGAGTTTGTCTGAGGATTCGTTTGTAATTCACAATTTTCCCTTTTTTATTTTTACTGATTTTCATAGTTTTTGAAAAGGACCCCTATTAGAATAGTTAGTTCTTTCTTTAATAGGTTAGTATAAGCCAATACAGCATCGAATGTTTTGTAGTATTGGTGCCAGGTGATTTCTAGAGTTTATGTTGTAAATTATATAAAAAAAAATTTAATGATTAAACATTTTATTCTCAGGAATGAAGAAGTGTTCCATTAATAATGTTTATGAAGCCTTTCTGCGGAAAATTTCTTACAGCAGCTCAAAAAGCGATTCGAGTATTTTAAAGTTGAGGGCAAAAATTATTAATTTGTTGAAGGCAGTCAAGCAGATATCAGGTCCAATTTAGCACTCTTTTGGACAATGGTAAAATTCCTATAAATTTTATATTCTATTATCGTCAATCCTAAATTTATCTGTGCAAGGCCTTGGTTAAAATCAAATTCAGATAAAATAAATAAGTTTTTGGTCACTATATCCCCATTGATAGTGTGTTTTTCTGTGCAAGGACAAGAACATGATCAAAGCCAACTCAAGCATCTCATGCCTGGAACAAATATAAGATTCCTCATCTACAATTTACAGTAATCCCAAAATCTCTTTTGGTGCCATGCAAAAAAATCCTATTTCCTGGGCTTAAGGAAGCCAACAAGATCCGTGCAGGGATGCACAGAATAGCCTTCGAGCACGAAAACTTACTAATCTTTAATGAAATAACGTAAATAAAATTATGATCAGCTTAATTAAAGTTTGGATACTCAAAGCAGACTGTTTATTGGTATAAATCTCAAAAAAAAAAGAAAAAAAAAAGTATCAATCAGTTAGCCCATATGTGTTGGTCTGCAACCCATGATTGATCAGGCTTCAGTAGAACTCTATCGATCTAATGCAGGGAAAAAAGGATTAACTTTACATGTAATTTTCCTGGAGTAATATATATCTAGAAGATAGTTATGGCACCTGTGCGTTTTCAACGCAGACAAAATCTCTGTAACTGAATTCCATTTGAGTGTGCGGGTTCCATAAGACTGCATCAGGCCAGCTGAACATTTCGGTTTAGAAATATAAAAATGGTTAATTAAAATATACAACAAATCAAATTGGCAATAACATAAAAAAGTAGGATAGAAGAGCACATAGCCTACATACTTGGTATTCCTGATGGTTATGGTATCACCCAACCCATTTTCAAGCTGTAGCTCATCAGTTGCACCCAGGTAAATGCAGTCAACAAATCCAGGAAATGTAACTACATCCCTACATGTATGGATTCAGACGCCATAATTTATAATGTGATTTATTCTCCATCAGATGATCTCTATATAATATGATTTGTAATAAAATAGAATGTGTAGCTGCTATTTACTGATGGGCTCTTAACGGTGATCTCCTTGCTTTTTTCCTTCATTCCCCTCTTGAATTTGCCTTTCGGAACGCTTGTATTCTTTCTTAAATTCAACTTTAACGGAAAGACGAAAGAAAGAATAGAAGGGTGTCCTTGGTTGGGGGATCCCAAGCATTGATCCTAGGTTGCCTTGGGATTTGTGCTATAGAGAGAGATTGAAATTTTTTTTTATTATGAGCGATACAAATATCTAAAACTCACACTCAGCTTGATTTGTTAGTCAAATTGAAATCAACTCAAAGGGTTAAAATAAATTTGACATGATTTAGAAATATACAATGGCTCGATCTAGGTTGGATTCATTTCTACTTGAAATTACTGTATATAAAGCTTATAATTGAGTGATTTCTACACAAGATCGTGTGTCCTATTTAGATTGATTTTGAGTCAATTTTCACTTAGAGTTGAGATAAACTTGATGATTTCAAGTTTGAGTTGTTAAACTCATTGTAAACTATTTATTAATTTATTTTCAATTTCAAAAAGCTAGGAATAGGAAAATTTGTAGAAAGCACAGAGAATCTTCACAAATTCCACTAAGAATTGATTATTAAATTGCAAGCACCTAAATCCTTGTTATGGAAATATTGTTATAAGGTAAACAAATGGTTATAACTAAAATGAAGATAATAATGGTTACGACCTGTTATAACTTAAAATGTTGGGCTTGATTCTATCATTTTTTTTTATTTGGTGGTGTTCTGAGACAAGGGAAAATAAAGGGTATGGATGGAGGAAATTTTCAGTAAAAGCTTAAATTTCACAATAAGATATGCATCTTGAGACATGCCTCGTAGAGACATGCATGCAAAGTGCATAGCGGCAATAGCTAAACCACATTAAAAAAAAATTGGTGCATTTACATATATAGCACACAATTCTATTGTATTTACATATTTCACACCTTTAGTTTGATAGTTACACACATAGCACTCAAATCTTTAATATCACATGAAAATGACACTATTTATCACTTTTTAAAAGTCAAATTCACATTTTCATGCATAGCTTTAAATCACCAAACTGCTATGGATGTAAACATAAGAATTGTGTGGTGTGTATGTAAATTTCCCAAAAATGATTTTGCTTGTTAGTTACTTGATTTTATTTTATTTTTTATTGCATTAAAAAAACTTCCACTTGGGTCCAAGTATTCTTAAAACTCCACATAATAAAATTGTAGGTTCTTAGTAAATATAAACAATGAAGTAGATGAAGAAAACCTTTCCTCTTTGCTCTCTAAAGGATTGGCAGGGTCTGGATCCTTGTTCAGAGTCTTGCAACCTTTGAGACCTTTAACTTTTACTCCTGAGATAGAAGCCTGTGTAACAGTCAAAGTTTCTTGTTTGCACCGTTCAGGAAAATCACATACTCGTTTGAAATTTTTTTATGAAATTAGGTGTTTAAAAGACCCGTCCCGAGAAATGTGAGTACTCATCCTTGGCTTTATCAGATAACATAAAGCCAAAGATGTTATTAGATAAGCTAGTGGAGAAGTCATAGTGGCCCATTCTTACACTAAAGTATGTGTGCAACGCTGTGGTAAAAGAGAAGGGCTTCTTGTCTGTGTTTGTGATGGATAAGGTTGTAGAAAGACTCCTAGCATGTAAAGTGACCTGCAAAGAAAAGATGATGAAGTTGATAGGAACTTCCATAGAAATTAGTGTAAAATAAATTATTTTTCCTCATCAACACAAACAACACAATCCAAATACATAGAAGATAAACCTAAAATTAGCGAGGTAGGTGATTCTCTCCCAACCTAATATTCGAGAGGTAGGCGATCTCTCCCCAAAATCCTAACCCTAAACGTCAAAACAACAATCACATAGCATGACCTAACCATAAGCATAACAAGCCCTATTTATACCCCACAATAATAAATAACAAAGGACTAAATTGCCCTTTTAACCTTATGCCTAACATAAATCTTTAAATTCTTTGGAGGGCTCTCCGTCTGTCTAACAGAAGCCAAATTCAAAGAAATTCCATAAGAGATTATATAAGCATATCCTCGCGCAATTGGAAATTGGTTCAAAATTTTCTAGTAATCTATCTGCTTTAAAAGCTAATGCATTATAATGCAATACTAAGATAGCGTAACAAATAATGATATCAAGATGTAGAGAACATCATTTAGGTATGGTGCAAATTATCCGGAAAAGCCAAATATTCTATAAATTTTGAACGCTGCATTTAGCAAAATATATCATATTTATTGGAACTTAGTGTAAAATATCATACTTTTCCTGTCTTGAAATCTAAATATAGCCTTATAGGATGCATGTGATGCAATTCTTTTATATTCAGAAGACTTTTTGTTCCTAAAAGGACAGCATTATGTGTTCTCAATGTATTCCAGTTACAAAGGAGTAATCTTCAACTTTAGTTATCACAACTTATTTGGTATCATTTATATGTCCTAGCTATCTAGTTTTCTCAGTTGCTTTTGAAGCTTGCTTTCATATCGTCCATTGATTTATAAGGCCATATTGTTAAGAATTTCACTTAAATTTCCTCACAACAATAGGGTCAGTTTTGTCATGCTATCAAAATTGGGTCAAAGTTTGCATCAAGACACCGGTAATAAAACTCATTTTCAACTCACAATAGTGAGTCTGTGGATGAAGAAGAACTATTAAAATTTTCAAAATAATATATTTTCACCTCAAGTGGGAGTTTCTGATATAAATCAAAGAAGGGATGCCCAAAGCCTACACATTGTAAAATTCTTAATCTACAAATCATAATTTTTAAAAAATCACCTTTAGATGAAAAAAAAAAAAACAATAAAACTCGCACAGATGATTATTAAAGGAACATTAAATAAAAATTTTGCATAGAAATTTATGGTCGTAAAAAATCACACGGTAACGCGGTATTGTAAATCACACCACAATAAAAAAATTACGCTAACTTGTTTTGACCAAATCCAATAATGCAGATATACCAATACTACGATTAAAGGACATAAAAGATCAAAGAAACAAATATCAAAATAATAATGACACACACAGATATAATATATAGATATATATATATATATATATATATATATATAAGCACAAGGGCAATTATATAAAAGAGAAAATGGGTATTTTGTTAAATTTAAAACATTAAATTAACTTGAATTAAAATTTATCCTTAACAAATCAAAATGAGACATAAAGGAGCATTTCTCAATAATATGGGAGCATAAAATTTTCAATAAAGGTATTATACTTTTAATGGTTAAATTTTGTATATGCTTTAATAGTTTTCAAAGATGTGAAAATAATAATTTTTCTTTTTTTGATAATTTGTGCATATCTGTATCATTCATATCTGATGCCCTGATAATATGAAATAACCCTTGCTCATGTTAATCATAAACTTTGCTGATATGACGTAAATTTTGAGCATACTACTTATAGAATATTTGTTGTAGCTTCTAGCTTGTGACAATATTCTATAATATATGTTTAAGTGGTTGATAGATGTAATTGCTGAAAATACCCTTCTAATGATAGTATTTGCCGGTCTAATTAACACCACCCAAAGTGATGAAGCTTTTGGAAGGGTAAATAGATGCCATCTGGTTGGTGGAAACAATCCTTATATTTTAAGGTATTACCAGAGATTGAATATATAATCAATGATTTTGATGTGCTATATCTATATATAAATATTTATGATGTGGTTGTGCATGGATGTGTTAACATGTAATTAAATTAATCAATATTTTTCATGTTAAGGCATTGACTATATAAAATCATCATATTACAAATTAATCTAAATTAGTTGAAATTTAATTATACATGTCATATGAATTATTCAATTTAATTTAGACTTGGGCTTATTGTATTAAAAATGATCTTAATTTACTAGAAATAAATGAAAATATGACACGAAATAGGGAAATAGGACGCAATGAGAAAAAGGATTCATGTAGCCGACCCCACGTAGTGGGATTAAGGCTTTGTTCTTGTTGTTGTTGTTATGTCATATGAATTATTCAAAATTGATGTAATGATGACACTTGTTATGTTAATGTGCATTACTATTTATGTTGTTTTTATTGATCTTATTGCATGCCCTATGCCATGCCGTTTTAATTTTGTCTTAACAAAACTTATTATAGGTTAATTGATAGATTATTATAACAAGAATAAATTCATTCATAGTAGATATATTTTGGGTTCAATATTTACCCTCTTCATAAGTAGTTCTTTGTTTAGACACATAATTGAGCTTTGCTTTATTTTTGCAGTTGAAGATAATCCCATCATTTCCATTACTTTGATGTTACAATTCATATGAAGATATAATGTTAGTATTTACATTGTTTTAATGAAGTTTTGATTCACATTTCTTATCACTATAAATTATGCTTACATATTTTATATAAAATTATTTTTTTTAATACTAAAATTGCTTCACTTGAGCTTAACTAATGATATTGTCTTGCAAGTTATGATTAATCTTTTCATCATGTCTTGTATTTTCAAGATGCAAGAACTTCCAGACATTTAGGTTGAGATCATCGACCATCACTCATTAAATGAAAGATTTTCAACATCATTGAGCATCATGCACCAATAGCCCAACCCAATCACATCATAGCTTCATGTGATTCATCTACCATTTAAGCTAAATTGACATCAAAACTCAAGGGAGAGACAAAAACAGGAACAACTTGATTCATGCGAGACCTTTGAGTATGATACAAGATGCTAAGATGAAAAAATTCTATATATATATATATATATATATAATACAAAAGCATATCAAATGCATGCAAAGAATGTTTAAAATAGTAACGAAAGAAAAGGCACCATAAAATAACACCAACACAATATGATTCGACCAAATAACGGTCTCACTCTATTGGAAACGAGGATGATCAAATCCAATATATAATGAAAAGCCCCAAATCTCTAAGCCAAACAGATATAAAATTATCCTAATATCTTGTAGAAATTATTGAAATCAAATAAGAGAATAAATAAAAGATATATATTATATCAAAAAATTACTACAAGATGATCCATAAAGAAGCCCTTCTCTCTTTAGCAATGTTTTTGCTATTTTATGTGCATACCCCCTCAAACTTCTTATATCTCCTATTTATGGAAATTCAAGTGGGAGAAGATTTAAAACAAAATATGATTCAAATAACATAATTTTCAACAAATTTTTGAATTGATTCTTATCAAAGGAGATCATCTGGATAAGTATAATTGCTTTAAAATCATCTAATGTGATTTTATGCTTTTCCTAATAAATTACTGAGGCAATATCCTAAGACTCCATGCCATTAATCATATTGTAAAAATAAAGATGCATACATTACATATCAGTTTAGAGAAGGTTAAAGTTAGAAATTGACCTTGTATAAAGCTTGAAAGCTAAAATCCCACATCGAACGACTGTAGGGATCATCCTTATGTTCCAAGGTTACAACAGGCTTGCCCTCATTGTTTTGAGAATCCACTAAAGACCATTCCATATTTCTTGCAAATCCATGCTGCAAAAGAAAGGAGTTATGAGAAATAAAATGACAGTTACTTTTTTTTTTTTTACTAAATAACATTACAGTTAAAAGTAAATAAAGGAAGCAAAATAAACTTGATTTAATTTCCTAAAGTGCTGGATAATAGCCATCAATGAAGTATGAACAAATCAGTTCCGCAAAAGAATTCAAGAACAATGCAGTTAATGCGCACTGATATGTCCAAAATGACATGACTGGATAAATTAAATTGCTTTGTAACCATTTCAAATTGTATGGTAGTGAAGGCTTGGATTAATCACCAAGTAAAACTCTATATTGTTAGACCTATGAAGGGCAAAGGTATGTAAGTTTTATATTAAGAAACGTTGCTATAAATTTGAAAATAAAATAAACGTAGTACAGATGATCTAGTTTGAAGAATAAAATGGTTTTTGCAGAAAAATTGATAGACGATTTCAGCAATTATTCATAGGGCCATCCATAGATAAACAATACTGTAGACAACCCAAGCAAGCAATTTTATGTCGAAGGCATATTAAATCATCATCCACAAACGAAGCAAACTATAAATGAAATAACAAAAAAGGCTACACCAAGAACATGTTCATAAATAAGATTTCAGTGTTGATCTACTGTCAGCTTCTATTAGTTATCACCATGTTTGTAGCTCTTTCAGTGTCAATCTAATGTAGAAAGCGGCCTACTTATAAATTATCATAAACAATAATAAAAATTGTATTCGTTAAGTTATGCAGGTTATTCTCAATATAGCGCTCTTGCTCTTAAGAAAACCCGAGCTATGTACCTATCCCAATCATTGGAAGACTATGGGGTTGTAGTCTTTCAAACCATAAGGATATAGAAGAAATACATTACTTGAAGGGTTATGTAAACCTAATTTTGATCAACAATTGAACCAGGGCCAGTTCGTAATACAGCAACACTGATTCATCTAGAAAACTCATGATTAAAAGTCATAATTTTTTAGATATATAAATGCATTTTGTAAGAGAAAGGGCAAATGATAGAAAAACTTCATGAGGAACTATTGTATAGCTTTCTTGTAAACTGATATATAAACCCATCGATTTTGACTGGAAGATTCAGCACATAGAAGTGTCACATAAGTTCGTTCTAAGGATATGTAACAAAAGCATCATCCATATACAATAAAAAGTAGCAATAATTTTGCACAGGCTAAATAAACAAAAGCATCGAAGTCTAGTTTGGGTCAAAATTCTCTGACAATCAAGTTGAGTATTTAAAACTACAAATATTATTAAGGTACATGGCATTAGCCTTATCTCAATTATTTGTGCCAGATTTGTTATTACTAGTTCATTCATTGCCGCCAAGTGCTAAATGAGCTGTTAAACCTATTTTATCAAAACTTTGCTCCTCAGGAAGGTAACATGCATAATAATTATATTACAGCATATAAAGTAAAAAAATACAAGAACAAGGTTATTGAAAAAAGAATCCGCTAATTTAGGCTTATACCATGGAGTGCAAATAAGGTGAGCAAATTGAAATAAAGGGCAAGAAACCCAACCAAAAGGTTTATAATATAGCATTGTTATAAGTTGTGGAAAATGAATTACTTGAACTAGATACACCACAAACACCACGTGGTTGAATAAAGACAAAAGAAATATTCAAAAGCCAGCCCTAATGGTTAATGATGATGGCGGTGATCCAACCCATGACATCTCTTCTTGTCGATTCATGATAATTTTTTTATTTTTAATTATTAATGGCATTGAAAGTACAACCTAGAGAAAATAAAGAAACATTACTGAAACCTGAATGGTGGGAGAATGACAGTCAAGTGCATGAAGGATTGAATTTTTCCCTAACCAGAAAACAACATTGTTAACAAGGTTTTTAAAAAAGCGCTTCATGAGCAAAGCGAAGCGCGTGACGCGTTGAAGCTCTCTTCGAAGATTAAGGTAGTCTTTGGTTGTGACTTAGATTTACGTTAAACAGGATTTATCAAATCCAAGTGAAATCGGATTTATCTAACCTCGCGAGCGACGACGAACGACGTTCTGTAAATCCGCCTTGTAGTTGGATTTAATAAATTCTGATTTACGTTCTAAAATAAACATAATGCGAGAGATTTTGAATTACCGGAGTGTTGGTTTTAGTTTCGGTTTTTTTTAATACTTGGCATGATTTAAGTTATATCCATGGTTCAATCCCGTAAATAGTAAACTACAAACACCCCCTAAAATTAATTTGCAGGCTTTTTGGGCAATTTTTAAGTATTAATTATCGCAACAAACTATTAGAAATTGCTCAAAATTAATTTGTAGATTCAACCTCAATGTTTGAATTATACAACATTTTTTTCAGTTTTATATCAACTTTTAAGTCATAGTTTATATTTTATAATTATTATAATTATTAATGAATGTATTTATAGTATTTATATATTAATAGTTTTATCTAACATATTAGCATTATGGTTAATAAAAATGGCGCTTCGTTATGTGCTTTGCACTTTAAAGGAAAAATAAAGCCTTGTGCATTACATTGCATTGCACATTGCGCTTTGATAACACTAATCGTTAATTAGGCTAAAGCACACAGTATGTATTTTATGATAACATAATGATAAAAAATTATATATTCAATCTAGAAAAAAAGGGACAATAGGATAAAATATTGGTGTTGGGGAGTGGCATTAAATTTTTGTTAAATTATGCAATATGCAATGCTTTGTTTATTAGGATAGTGTTCAGTAAAGAAGAGAAAAAATGATGAATGAAACAGTTAATCTCAATGAAATCGGAAAAAAAAAGGATAAATAAATTGAAACAACATGCATATAGGAATGATGATTAATTGCAATTAATAATCAAGGATAATCACAAACTCCTAATAAATTGATCCCAAGGTGCCCTAGCACCCATTTCTTCTCCCCTTTCTGTTTGCCTCTCCCAACTATCGCTATAACCATCTATGCTCCACTGAGGTCTTCTCGCTTCTTCACTTCCTCTAACCCATCTCTCACATTCGTCTCTTATCTCTTACCTCTGCTCATGCCAACAAACTATCTTGGCCGACCACTCTTCCCCACTACCACACCTCCATTTCTGCTACTCATCACTCAACCTCCATTCACCCCAACTACCCTAATTCCATTCCCCCAACATATAGCCTCATTTCTGTTACCCCCACCCATTGCCCCACATCCAGTCCATACATACACATTACACTCAAACACCATATTTTCAAATAATTTTATGTGAGTTTTGACAATATAGCTTAATTTAATAATACATTTATATTTCTTTTAGGTTAACACAAAAGAATGTCACATTTTTGAGTTGAACTCAAAATTTGGCTAAATTAACATTAAATTTAGCAAATCAATCTAGACTCTAATTAGAAAAGTCTCTACTGATAGATTTGAAGACATATTGATTGCCCAAATATGTTGTAATGAGCACATCTTACGATTAGTGGATTGATTAGAATTATTATGAAAAAAAAATTACACCCTCATAAATGATTCTGCAACAAAAAACAACCATGTCTCACAATTTTTACCTAGAACAGCTACTCTCTATGTGTGAATAGTACTGTAACTTTAGAATCACACCCACAAGGGTGTAATGTATTGCATTTTGAAGACATACTATTAACAACTTAGATTTAGTGAAACAAATCTTTTTGTACTCAAAATTATTATTTATATACAAAGCATTATTGGTGCTTTGCAAATCAAGTTTTATTTGGAAAGATATATCAACATTTAGTTTGGAAGAAATTTTAATTTCTTCCTTAGATGTCAGGTTGCACATGAGACCATCAAAAGCAAGGTTTGTGTCTCGCTCTTGAGCATTTTGGCAAACTTGAACAAATTGATTATTTGTTATCATCTCGCTATCTAGATTAACTCTTGCAAATGCCCTATCATAAAGTATATCATGGCCTTTTAGCTCATTTGATTCTGAGATTTCTAAGGTAGGTGTATCATCGCATGTATTTTATTTTGACTCATAAACTAAAAGCGGATACCTTCTGGTGCATATAATATCTCAGCATCCCTCTCATTCACTTTTATTATTGGCAAGTAATGTCTCTCATCATTCCTCTCATTCATTTTTATTATTGGCAAGTAATGTCTACTTATGTTGACACTACCTTGTGGCATTAAATTAGATCTTGAAGTACCTTCCTTATATTAGTTGGCCTAGTATTTATAGATCTACATGCAACAAAAAATTATGAGCACAACATATTGAAATAGAGCATCAAATGACACTATATTAAACATGTATACTAACTCATGTTTTGAAACTTCATAAAGTTATTGTTGTGTAGTTTTATCTTACATGATTCTTGATTGGGTATTGTCAAGACGCAGTCTGATGGCTTAGAATTAACTAAGTCAGAAATTGTAAGTGGGACGATATTAACCTTTCTTTTAAATCATAAAATAATCTATCATAATTTCCAATAATAAATAGGGTGACAAAAAATAAAAAATACAGTAAACTAAAGTTCAATTTATCCAAAGTATCAACATAGTATGAGAATAAAATAGTATCATAATCCGACTAACTGTAGTCCAACATTTCTCAAAATTAATTTACACAAGAACTAGAAGCAAAATAAACAACCTACTACCTAGTATCAGTAGTTTTTCTCCTATAAAACAAATCATTCATGTCAACCATATCAACCTAGTGTTTTACCTAAAAAAGTAATTAATTTAAATAGTGAATTTACAACTTAGTGAGCAAGTACAATCTTATTATGTATTAAATTAATATGCAAATGTTCAAAAGAAATATAATTCATTAATTAAGCTTTTATTTTAAATTAACCCTTACTGTTTCAATTTAAGTATTTACCTTGATAATATTTGTCTTTCTTTTAAGAAGTTATATCAAGATTACCGTCATATTCGAAACTTTCCTCAAAAAGTTGTATCCGTAGGTACCTTAAAAACTTTACACCCAAGTGTACACTTTTGTCATTTTAATTTTTTATTTTTGTGCACGGGTACATTACATCCCCTGTCAGTACCATTTGGGGATAAATTTGATTTAATCATTTATTTATCATTTCATATCAATTTA